AAAAAAAAAACGAAACAGTCTTCGCTCGCTGTTGGTAGGAAAGAGAAGACAGAGAGCCAGAAAGGACACTTTGTCTGTTATCGATGGTCATCGTAGATACTAAGAAGACCTCTATTAATCAAAATGTGCAAATTTTGAAAACTGTGAATTATATGTTATCTAGTCCTCGATGCGCAATAATTAAAAAAATACTGCATCGGTTGTAAACTGTTTTGGTCAGATGCTGCTCATTTTCAACTGGAATTTCTCGCGTTTTTCCCCTCTGTAAAAGACCATAATTTCGCTTTCAGGAGCAATATGTTCCAAAGTCTCTTTAACTTTGATTTTTGGTTTAATTTATAAGTAAGGTTATACATCCAGTCAAAGATTCTTGTTTGTTTAGAAAAAATGCGCTTGATTTTACTGAGTCGAGCAAAAGAAAAGACCCGAAATTGAATAACGAAGAAAACAAATTTTGAGTGACCTTGATGAAATAACATATCACCTTCGCACTCACTGGTCAAAAACTGCGAGTTTTGGAAAAGTCGACGCTGGCGCTTCAAAGATTTTTTTGTACCAGATTTTTTCTACAAACCTCAAGGAAATGATAGTTACCTTAACACGCCGCCTACTTGTTCAGCTTTTTCCAAAATAGAACGCAATTATGGTTTCGAACTCTCTTTAGAACATAACAATGGTATCCTTGTTTTCAATTCTTTTAAAGTCAACCCGATCTGAATGATAAACATCGGGATTATTGAAATGAAAAGTTTCCTGAAATGGTGTTTTTCCGCAAATCACCATCAACGAAAGATTAACTGTAAATTTCGTTTACGAGACAGTTTACTGTCGCCTCGTTGGAGGCAGATTTACAAGTGCTACAAACGAAATGAGATTTTAATTTAGTTTCAATCTAAACAGAACTGAAATAACAAAAAAAATGAGCTTTTTGACAGCTTCAAATAGTGCGATATATAGAATATGCAAATATCGTTCAATACAATTTCAGCAGCAATTATCACTTTGGCCCAATGTTTGAAAAATCCGTCGTAAGCTTACCTGTTCTGTTTTGAGCTTGTCTTCTCGATGGAAGTTGATCATCATATAAATCTTTACATTCTCGATTCCAATCAGTTCTTCGTTACGTTTCTTTGTCAATGAGTCGTTTGTTCAGCTTTAAACCCAGCTGAGAAAAAAAGGAAAACGTTTTCGTCGAATCTTTGCTAACCTATAGCTTGTACCTAGCTGCTCACACCTTTGTCAAGCAATAATTTTGTTCCGGTGAGAGAAACAAAACGGTTTGATTATTAAAACCGACCTTCGCTTAACTCTTTTCTTGCAAAAGATTCTGGATTGAAAAAAGCAAAACAAAAGCCTGGCTTTTTAGTGAAGCATTGTCAATAAAATGGGCATTTTCTATTGGATAACAACCAAGCAGATAAGCAGTGACTCCTGGTAACCTATTGAACTGAAAAAAAAGACAGTTTTACGTACCAGCATGGTCAATAAAGTGAGCTTGAGGTTTATAAATATCATATTTGGTTCGAAGCCGCTTAAGTTAACTTTAAATAAACTGGACATCGTTTCTAGCAACTAACCTAACAAACACCAGATGTACACCTTTTGTACTAAAAATTTCTCCTGAGTAGGTTTTCAGAAATGACGATGATGTCAAGAGACAAAAGAGGCACGATGTTTTATTTTTCCTTGATTATGTCCCTTGCTATTGCTTTAGACCTCATAAGGACGAGAAAAAGATAATGAAAATAAAAATTTCGGTTAGAACCGTGGCAATTTATCCCTAAACTTTTATATAATGTTGAAGAAAAAACCTTAGAAACCTTCTCGGCAGCCTTTTTCTATAAAAATTTATTGTAATTGGTAAGCGGATTTTATCCCGAAAAGATACAAACAGAGGAACTAAAACGACATGGCGGTCTCGAGTCAACTGTAAGTTAAATTAACTGTTCGTTTGGGATTTTTTACCCCTGTAGAGCTTGGCAGTATCTTCACAATAGCATATGAATAAGACTGAAAATAGAAAGTATCTCTTGAGGAGACATTTAATTCATATTTTCTCGTTGTGAGAAAAAGAGCCATTTTCGTTTGTGTAAATTTTCCTTCGTTTGGTAAGTAAGAGCATTTTACCTATGTACATACGAACGAAACTTGTCCTGCTTTACGCAAACCTTTTTTTCTTGCACTTACGACTTGTTAAGAGTTTTTCTAAAGAGCTTTCCTCGGGGAGTTGGGCAGATGTTTCCAACCCATGGTGTATCATGATTTGCATGATAGGTACGTCTGATGAATGGAAAGCAAAAAAAACAACGCAACGGGTTGACTCGATAAGAATGTTTTACATTAATGCTATTGATAAGGTAGGTGTAGATTTTTCAGAAGACGGGAACAAGAGATCATCACTGGAAAAAAAAAAGTTGAGAGATCAGGGCAATGGATGTCTCAAGATTCGCGTTACACAATAAGAAGCTGTGTATCATTTTGAAATTTTCAATATTTAGTCTTTCCTTGCGCCCAAAAACATTGACGTGTGTGATGTGCTGCTTCTGACCGAAACACTTTCTCGGCGAAATTTTCGCCGGGTTCAAGTCATTAGTTTGTTTCATGAGTATTTCTGGCAACTAATATGAGTGCTTCCTGGTTTTGGGAACATATGCGACTAAAATAAAATACTCCTTCGCAAAATGAAGATTAGGTCCTAAACGTTCTTGAGCGTAATTCAGTTACAAACACACTAGCAAAATGCGTATACCCGGGAAATATGTCATGTACGGCTATCAGATAACTGGAGATTCCCGACTACACATCGGTTTCCTGACTATTTGCTGAAAAATAAAGCTAGGTTTTGGAAGAGTGGATTGTTTGTTTGGGGCAGGGGGGAGGGGGGTATCTAAAAACAACAGTTGGAGGAATACCTGCGATGAACAAGTAGCCCAACCAAAAAGAGCAGTTAATGTAATTCAAAACAGGACCAGGTTCTTCTACTTCTACCTAAATTTCAGTATAGTACATCTTTAAGATATTTATGTAACAAAAAGCTTTCTTAGTTAATAGCAGTGAAATATTACATTACAGGGGTGATAACAAGTTCCGTCATCTATCACTTACGTTACTGATAAATGTATACATTTAGCTCATATACTATATATAAAGACCTTTACCTGTGAGGGTCTACGATCTGGATGAGTTTAACTGGCAACTGGCAACCATTGTTTTCAATGTAAACTAATGTAAACTACTGCTGCCCCATCCTAACCCTTCAAGGTAGCTCCTTCTAACGTTTTATAGCTGTCAGCTGAGACGGATAAGATGCGTTTTGTTCCTGATGGCTAAGATCTAAAATGTG